TATATATATATATATATATATTTATTTATTTATTTATTTATAGAATATATTTGATATAGTCAATAATTAAATTAAAAAAATTTTTAATTTGTTAAAACAATATTTTCTTCTTTTAATTATTTGACCAATCAAACATATCCAAAATGGTAAGTATATATTACTCTATATGCTATTATAAGGTAGGTAAATATTGCACTTCGTTTTAGGGATTGGAAATCCTAAAAAATTGCAAGAATCTGTAACCCAGTAGCACACAGTCAGTCCTGACTAACTAACTTACCTTGTTTGGATTGTATCAGTTGAACACGTTTTTGACACATATTTTGAAATAAGATTCTTTACATATTTTTGCAGAACATCTTTTGAAATATCTTAACTTTACAATCTGTTTTGACAAGAAAGTTTTTATTGATAAGATCGTCTTGAAATTTGGCAATACATAGCACTGTTGATAAGATTTTCTTTTTGACAGTAGAATAGTTCTTTTGAGTACCATCCTGAATGATATCAAACTAATTGTTCTTGATCATGAATTTTTTTGTTTAAGAATTCCTCCATATCCTATGTCCGAGGCATCAATTTATGCGATGAAGAAAGTGTTTGGATTTACAATATTGAGATATGGAAGAGTTTTTAGTTTTTACTGCTTCCTTAATGGTCTTTACTGCTATTGTATGTTCTTGATTCCACTTCGGAGGGTTTTTCATAAGTCTTTGATAAAGGGGTTTACATATTTGCCTTTGTAAAAAATCAGCCACATAATTGATACATCCTAGAAATCGTTGAAGATTGGTTTTGTCTAAAATCTCATCTGAAAATTCTAGACTTCTCTAGATTGGAGTAATCGTTTCTTGATAAATTTCATGCCCTAAAATTTTTACGAGCAATACAAAACCTTATATATCAATTTATAATGTTATATTTATTCGATATAGATTTATTTAAAAAGATCTTGGGAAATTTACGTTGAATATTTTTGTCATATACGTTGAATCATCTCATCTAAAAATTTAAATATATTGATAATTTAAATATAAAAAATTCTTCATATTGAATTCTAAATCTTATCTCTCCTTCAAACTTTAAGTTCTACAGTGTAGACGAAGAAATTGTTGATTCTCTCTACGACTAAATTAAATACTCCAAGTTTGGTATATTTTGGTGACCAGCTAGGAATGCTATGAAGAAAAATAAAACCACCCATTAGAAGTACGACCTAAAAAAAGGAGTGAAGACAAATTGCATAAACATGTTACCTAAGTTCAAGTTGAAGCCGTTGATTGAGTTAATGCTTGCATTAAACTGCAGTACTTATTAATTGGTAAACCAGCAGCATAGAAACGTAATGGTGATTAAAAGATAGAATAATGTTATTCATCCCCACTCTTGTTAGAGTAACAGTTTAGGTGACTACACTTTATTGTTTTAATTAAATGAGTCGTATGACTTTGCATTTAAATGAATTTATCATTTAATGACGTGTAATTGTCCCTTAGACTAGTGCTTAGCACCATCGGGGATAAGTACTCGAAAAGATTATGTAGCTTCCACACGGCTGTCGATGGATGTACAAAAGATATTTTTCCTCTAGTATATTTATCTAAAATAAGGATGCACGCGTTATTCTATCACATAGCTTGCTAGAAGATCATGAAGGTGGCTAAAGAAATTTATTGGCTGTTGAAATAAAGAGCCAAACAATGAATCTAAGCAACTTCCCTGTTAACCATTAAAAGGAATATTTAGTCTAATAGTTCATTAATTGAAGTACGAAGCAGATCCACGAACAGAATAAAAGGACAATCGAAATGGAGAAGAAACAAGTTGAAATTCCAGAACCTTTTACTGCATGATGAAAATGGATGAATCTATGATCCAATATGCATTCTTGTTCACTTTATTCTTCGCATGGTTTCTCACAAAGAAACTCTTCATGCCCATTACTAAAAAAACCTTGCCACCATCACCACCAAAGCTCCCAATAATTGGAAATCTTCATCAACTGGGGTCATTGCCTCATCGCTCTCTCCATTTGCTGGCTGAAAAACACGGACCACTAATGCGTCTTCACTTTGGCAGCACCCCTGTGCTCGTAGTCTCATCAGCACATGCCGCCAGAGAATGCAAAGCACACGATCTTGACTTGGCGTATAGGCCCAAAATACAAATTGTGGAGAAAATGTACTACAACATGAAGAGCTTGGTTAGCTCCCCTTATGGAGAATACTGGAAGCAGGCAAGAAGTATTGTTGTCCACCAACTTCTAAGTAGCAAAAAGGTCCAATCATTTAATGAGATTATGAATGAAGAAGCAGCCTTTCTGATGAACAAGATCAAAGAGTCCTCTTTATCTTTGTCTCCTGTAAACTTGAGCCATATGTTTTCTTCGCTCAGTAATAATGTGACGTGTAGATCAGCTTTCGGGAGAAAGTACAATGAAACAGAAGTTGGGAAGAAATTTATGAGAGTGATAAGTGAAGGACAAGAGTTGCTGACCAATCTTAGTATTGGGGAATTCATTCCATGGCTTGGCTGGATTAATATACTGAACGGTCTCAATTATAGAACAGAGACGTTGCTTAAAGAAGGGGATAAGTTTCTAGATGATTTGATTCAAGAACGCTTGAGCGAGAAACGGCATGGAAGCAAGGAAAACTTTCTCGATATTTTACTCCATATCTACAAAGATAATACTGCAGGAGCATACATTGACATGGATGGTGTCAAGGCAATAATTAAGGCGAGAACATTTCCCACACATGCATGCGCACACACTTAAATTTGATCAATATACATAACATACATGGCTACTCGTTCTCCAATTAATAACATTCTAATTCGATTAATCTCATTATGTTGTATGTTTTCGGATAATCCCAGGACATTTTTGGTGCTGGAACTGAAACTACATCAGCATCTCTAGAATGGGTAATGACAGAGCTCTTAAGACACCCCACAGTCATGAAGAAACTTCAAAATGAAGTCAGAGAGAATCTTCAGGGAAAACAAGATATAACATTTGACGACTTGGAGAGAATGCATTATTTGAAAGCTGTAATCAAGGAAACTCTTCGCTATCATCCTCCAATCCCTCTGATTCCCCGAGATGCAGGTAAAGATGTGAAAATAATGGGATATGATATTGCAACTGGGACAATTGTTATGGTGAATGCGCTAGCAATTGGTAGAGACCCTGCATTTTGGGCCGAACCAGAAAAGTTTGAGCCAGAGAGATTCTTAAATTCTTCAGTGGACTTTAAGGGACTCCATTTCGAATATATTCCATTTGGGAGTGGCCGGAGAATCTGCCCAGGTATTAGTTTTGCGAAGGCGTTGATTGAACTTGTGTTAGCAAATATTTTATTCAAGTTTGATTGGGAACTTCCCAATGGAGCAAAAGGGGAAAACTTGGACACCACCGAACTCCGAGGTCTCATAATTGGTAGGAAAAACCCACTCATTGCTGTTGCAATTCCTCATGATACCTAAATTAATCTATCTTCATGTTTATGCAGCTTATTAGCATTATGAATACATAAAGCTCACAACCATTGGGATTTTCATTTAAGCTAACAAATTGCCAGTTTGTATGAGCAGTGGGATCAAATGTATGAAAGGTGTGAAGAATATAAGTCTGATTTCCATTAAGAAAGTATAAAAGCAAATGATGTTTGAACAACATATTCTTAAAGTTGGTGCTGACACAGAAAGATTTATAATCTTTTTCTATTATTGTCGAACATTGGCATGTGTTAACTATTGGTGATACAAAAGAATTACTACCTTCTGTTCCTATTTACTCAGGTCAGCAAGAAAACAAAGAATATCATACAGCGGCAGGAAGAAAAAAATAGAGAACGTGAATAACTGGAGATAGCATAGATGAAGTTAGTCTTTTAGAAGGTGAATTTTAGTGGTTGAATTGCTTTTGGAAATAAAGGTGGTGACAAAGTTGATATCAATTTAATTTTAGAATAGGAAACATTTATTGGTTGTAATTAAATACACTGGTAAATGTGTAAATACGAAACACAAGTTTCTTGATTAGCAAATCAGTACAAGTAAGATAATAATTTATTACATGAATGCAACTCCCACGCGCCGCTGGCACGGGTCACAGGTCGTGGACTTGGGCTTGGGCTTGAATTTGGATTTGGGTCAAGCTAATATATATTTTTTAGTAAAATAATATTTGATTTATATTATTTTATTATTATTTAAAATAATAATATATTTTATTTATATTATTTTTCCTCGATTTTTCTGTGTGTGACACGTGAATTCTTCTATAAAGACGGTTAACGATTGACGGTTGAGCTTGTCCAAATGGTTTGTGTCATTTGAAGACACAACTTTTCAGCTGTTGTGTCTTTTGGACACAACCTTTCAACTTCTATAAATAGACCCACATATCCTGGTTTTCATTCACTTCAAAATCAATTCTAATTTTATTCTTCTTCCTAAATTATTCATTCGTCCCTGCATTATTCATATTTTACAATCCAGCATCGAAAAATTGTTTTCGTGCATGTTAGTCCTCCAAATTTTGAGAGATCAAAACGTGAGTAATTTCGCTGGGTCTTGTAATTTGTAGTGCTATTATTATAATTCGAGATCGTTATATCTTGTGAGACAGTGCTAGAATACCGTCGCACCAATGTGGGACATTATCGTCTTAAGGAGAAATAGTCGAATTCTTGCCTCGACCATTAACATTTTATAGCATTCACTTTTTCACTTTTTCACAACGTTATTCTGCCCAAATCAATTCACGGTGATAACTTCCAACAATTTCAAGGCGATAATGGCAAATAATACTACATCTGTCGTATCCCTTAATAATGCTAATAGGGAGAAATCGGAAAAATTCACGGGAATGGATTTTAAGATATGGAAATATAAAATGTTGTTTTATCTCACGACTCTGAATTTGGCAAAATTCTTAAGTGAAGATGCTCCAACTGTTGAGAAGGATGAAACAGATTCTCAAAAACGAGCAGCATTCGATGCATGGAGTCATAATGACTTCTTGTGCAGGAATTACACCGTCAATTGCCTTGACAACACACTATACATCGTATAATGTTCGGTTAAGACAGCTAAATTACTGTGGGAATCATTTGATAAGAAGTACAAAATGGAAGATGCCAGATTGAAGAAATTCGTTGTGGGCAGATTCATGGACTTCAAAATGGTAGATTCTAAAACGGTAATGAATCAAGTCCAAGAGCTACAAATCATCTTGCACGATATACATGCTGAAGGTATGAAACTCTATTCGATAAACACCCCTTTTTGGGACTTTGTTCCAAGAGGTTTGTCCCTTACACAATCATCTGATCTCTTTTTAATTGTTAGTGAGTAACCGCGCGAAACAAGATCTATCTCATATTTATAGATCTCCATGCATACCCCACGAATCAGTACAAAACCTTATTTTCATGAAGAGTCACCAGAAAATTCAGCTTAACGGCTATAAAATTGAACCATGCGTGCGCATTGTTAACCCAGCCATGCAAGCATGTTTTTTTCCTCCTATTTTCATTCCTCAATCCAATTCTTCTTTCACCATAATTTACACTATAAGTCTTTGAACAATATAAAATATATTTTATTTATATTATTTTTCTTCGATTTTTCTGTGTGTGACACGTGAATTCTTCTAGAAAGACGGTTAACGATTGACGGTTGAGCTTGTCCAAATGGTTTGTGTCAGTTGAAGACACAACTTTTCGGCCGTTGTGTCTTTTGGACACAACCTTTCAACTTCTATAAATAGACCCACATATCCTGATTTTCATTCGTTTCAAAATCAATTCGGATTTTATTCTTCTTCCTAAATTATTCATTTGTCCCTGCATTATTCATATTTTACAATCCAGTATCGAAAAATTATTTTCGTGCATTTTAGTCCTCCAAATTTTGAGAGATCAAAACGTGAGTAAGTTCGTTGGGTCTTGTAATTTGTAGTGCTATTATTATAATTCGAGATCGTTATATCTTGGGAGACGAGTGCTGGAATACCGTCGCATCAATGCGGGACATTGTCGTCTTAAGGAGAAATAGTCGAATTCTTGCCTCGACCATTAACATTTTATAGCATTCACTATTTCACTTTTTCATAACGTTATTCTGCCCAAATCAATTCACGGTGATATATTACTTGCCAACTTCCAACAATTTCAAGACGATAATGGCAAATAATACCGCATCTGTCGTATCCCTTAATAATGCTCATAGGGAGAAATCGGAAAAATTCACGAGAATGGATTTTAAGATATGGAAACATAAAATGTTGTTTTATCTCACGACTCTGAATTTGGCAAAATTCTTAAGTGAAGATGCTCCAACTGTTGAGAATGATGAAACAGATTCTCAAAAACGAGCAGCATTCGATGTATGGAGTCATAATGACTTCTTGTGCAGGAACTACACCGTCAATTGCCTTGACAACACACTATACATCGTATAATGTTCGGTCAAGACAGCTAAATTACTGTGGGAATTATTTGATAAGAAGAACAAAACGGAAGATGCCGGATTGAAGAAATTCGTTGTGGGCAGATTCATAGACTTCAAAATGGTAGATTCTAAAACAGTAATGAATCAAGTCCAAGAGCTACAAATCATCTTGCACGATATACATGCTGAAGGTATGAAACTCTATGAGTTATTTCAGCTTGCTGCGATTATCGAAAAATTACCACCAATGTGGAAAGATTTCAAGAACTACCGAAACATAAACGCAAGGAAATGGGACTTGAAAATCTAATTGTACGATTAAGAATTAAGGAAGATAATCGCAATTCTGAAAAGAAATCTGGAAAGCTTCAAATGGAGGCTAAAGTCAATTTGGTGGAGCGAAATACTAGCAAGAAAAGGAAGCACTGGGGTAATGGCAAGGAAAAGAGCAATGCCAAGAAATTCAAAGGAGATTGCTATAACTATGGTAAGCCTGATCACATTGCAAAGTACACTTGACCGAGGAAGACAGATTGTCTAAAAATAATAATCATCCTTCATGTGTTAGGGACGAGCTGCCCAAGACACATGAAGTGCTCGACCAAGAACTCTATGAAAAAAGGATGAAGAGGTCATCTAAACCCTCACTTCAATACGTCCCTAAAAACCACTAACTCCCCTTCTCAAGCACTAACTATGCTATCCTCGGGCCCGGGAGTTCTAATATCGTACCTTGGCATAAGCTCGAACTTCCTAGCTATAGATATTGCCTCATGCTCTTTATATTAACCTCTAAGGTGGGGGTAGTTCAGAATAGGCCTTGTATCTAGGGGGACTGCCATGGGGATAATAGAATGACCAGCATCCTCGGGTGTTAAGCCCGACCTCGATGAACTATCAGAAGACATCTCTAAGATCTAAACTTAAAATTATCTATAAGTCTCGAGGTCTTACCTTAAATGAACAGAAAGCCCGAGGAGGTTTGAGAAAGAGAAATGTGGCAAATGGGGTGTGGCAGTGGGGTATTTATAGGATTTTGAAGAAGGCCAAAGGTCTTTCAATCCTAACCCTCCATCCTGGCAAGTGCAAACATCCATCCTCCCAAGGAAATCATTGGCTCGAATATCGAAGCCACGTGTCACACGACCATGCACCCTAGGGTGGTCAGCCCCTTTTCAAGATTGTTCAACCCCCTTTCCAAGGCTGACCAGTCTAATTTCTAAGGCTGATCGGCCCATTTTCAAGGCTGGTCAGTTCAATTTCAAAGGCTGATAAGTCCAATTTCAAAGGGTGATTAGCCCCTTTCCAAGGCTAGTC